AAATTTAGGGCACAAATATCTAGGTAACCCATTGGGCCAAGAAATTGGGCTGTGAGGGTTGTCCTAGTTGGGCCTAAGTGAATTGGACTAAAAATAATCAAGACTTGGGCTAAAAGAATTTTGGACTTTAGATAATAACATATTGTACTTAAAACTATTAAAATTGGGATTTAAGAATGATAAGGAATCGAGATTCGGAATTGAACTTGAGTCGAATAATTTAAATTGGTTTTATAACAGTTAGATGAACACGTTTTCACTTTACCGTTAGGGTTTAAAATTTAGTGACACGTTTTTCGAGAAAATATAATTTTTATATAATTTAAAATTCTTGGTCGCTACATTTTGTGCCAATTACCCTATTTTCTATTATTAGCTAGTCTAGTTTACCACGTGTTGGGTTTTGATACCCAATAAATTTGGACAATGATGTTAAATCGGTTTATTGGATTATACTTCATAGGCATCGACTGATGATTGAAGTAAAATGTCGGCACCACAATTGTTCAGACCGATCCTATAACCTACTTGGGCAATTTGAAGTAACATAATTGTATTGGAGTTGCTCATGACCCGACCCATTACCTTGGAAGGCTTTTCAGTTGTAGCCCACTTGTATTCTACCTATTGGGTCTTATTCTTTCTAACCTAAAAGCCCATACCTAATCCCTACCTTTATATGCTTTGCCCCGTTACTGTAGTGAGTGTGTGAGTGAAATTGGTAGCCGTGTGTATTGAGAGAAAATGCAATGTCTTGTGGTGTTGATTGTTGTTAAACTGAGCCTGGTATTGAGTGGGATTGGAGTCCTAAAACGAACACCATGTATATACTCTTCTTCGTTATTAACTAAGTTTACCATGCATAGACAAGTCTGTGTATATATAGACCTGTATTCTTCAGTTTAACATATAGAAAAGCACTCTCTTTTTAAAATTATCAATTCTACATGGAAAACCTCATAACGCAAAAACAAGGGTGAGATTTGTTAAATTATGGAGTCTAATTATTGTCATTTCGCATAGTTGGTCATGGATTGACCTTAGCGGTGAGGTCGCCGTGGGGGTTGGAAGGGGCAGGAGGCCCCCTTCCGGGGGATCCACCCTCGGACCAAAATTTCATTAAGGGCTGTTTCGAAATTTGTATTATTTTAAATTTTTGTTAAGGAATTTGAGTCCTTGTAAAATTCGATTTTATCTTAATTTATCTTATAAATAGCGTCCTTAAGCTTATTATTATCATCAAAAAGAAAGAAGGAGAAACTAGAGAAGATATGAGTGCGATTTTCTCTTGTAAACATTTTTCATCATAGTGAATTACTATAGTGGAGAGAACGAATGTGGTCTCACATTGAAGCTAACCTCTATAAATCTTACTTGTTCTTGAGTGTTTATTTTTTTTTTCTTCAAATTGATTTCTTCGATAGAATAGAATTAGGGTTTATAATTCACAACAAGACTAACATTCTAGCCACACATCGGCCAATACCTTTGGCATTCCACCTTCTGGCAAAAATCCGGCCTCAAATGCCTGGTTTTTAGGCCATAGTTTTACATTTAGAGTTACATTGACTCTAAATTATGTCTAAGACAATAATGAAATTTATATTAATATTCGTTCTTTTTAGGATAGCAGACGGCACATGCAAATGAAACATCTGTTGCTCAATTGAACAGTGATGTAGAACTACATAAAACACTATTACATGAACTGAACATTCCTAAAGACCGGTCAACTGGGTAATGTAGCCAAAATCATTGTCAATTGTTGGGTAATCATTTAAGAGACATCTACAAATATATGATAAAATATTTTCACTGCCTAGGATCTCGAGACCATGGGCTATTAGCGTTTTCTTCATATTTGCGTTCATATCTATGAATCTCCGTTTCAAGAACATCCATGATGCGAACCTACGTAGCAATTGAAGCTACAAAATCCACGACAGATTAGAGCAAACCTAAGAAAGACAAGAATCAACGTTGGAAAGAAAGTCTAACCAATAAATTATTGAACCAAAGAACCAAGACAATTGCAACAATATCTTGACCCCGTGATGACAAAATTTATGAGCCTTACTTGAATTTTTGAATGCCACGGGAATTTAATTCTTGATAAGTTCGGAGTTAATTTGATGAAAAAAGAGAAGAAAGTAATATATCTTGCAATAATATCTCTCAAATTGTGTGTATTTTTACAATGAATAGAATGAATTCTATTTATATGGAACTCATAAAACCTAATTAAAAACGAAATTAAGCCTTAAAAGATACCGTACAAGAGTTTTAACAAAAATAAAATTCTATGCAAAATTTGAAATATACGCGTCCAGAATTGCACTATACTGCCGCATAGTCTTTCCTCATGCGGTCGCATAGTCCAGTTGATGGCCTTCAATTGAGTGTCGATAAGGGGTTATGCGGCCGCAAGCTTAGTTACCCTGTATGGTCACATAGGTCTTCATTTCAACTCCCTCATCCGTTGGTCGAACCAAGTTGATCTATCTTGTTCCGTCCTCCATGTCTAATATGAAACTTTATCATTTTGCTTGTTGTAGTCGATGTTTCATCCATCGCAACTTGAACAAATAATCTCATAGCTTCTTTGACCTTCTTTGTTCGTGATCTAGTCGTTGGTCCTTCCTCCACGATCAAATGATCTCTACCCTTGCCAGCTCTCATACCATAAATCTCATCAATCCATTTCAATCTATTTTATTGTTTCGTGTTCAAGTTCCCATAGTTTTGGTAAGAGTCTGAATCTCATGCTACATGTAATCATGTACAAGATTAGCTTCTACATTTGTGTTTGTCTCATCTTTGTAGTAAGGCTGACAAGATAACCAAGCAATAAAAAAATCTAACGTTTTCCCCGAAACTGTCAATACTTTCAGTACCTTGTCCCACATTGCAAATCATCATTAGATGTAGAAGATTGATTCATATTCATTCCCTAATTTGCACTAAATTGGCTATTGGTTGGGTTTAAGTCACATGTTTAGACATGATAACTGAGTAAGGGCTATATAAAGAGACATCTATGAAAGGTAATATTATTTAAAAAGACACAACAAATACTTTTTTTTTTTTTATAGTGATAGGTTGATTCGAGCATCGGAGGTCTCCATTGGACAATTTTAGTATCACCTTAAACGTGTTATTTTGTAGGTCAATACCAAAATAGAAAGCACATAGAAATTTACGCACATCTCTACGAGTTTTTCAAGAATTTGATGCAGTATCTGGATATGTGAAAGGGTAATGCTTGGAGTACAGAAAGGCATTCACAGGACACTTACAGGATTTTGAAATATGATGATGTGGCTTTTTTTTCTTTTTTACAAAGGAAAAACGTATCAAAATCCCCAAACCACAATGCTATTGAAATTCCCTCCCCCACCACAACTGAGAGTTCAGGCATTCAAATCGTCTCACTTGTTCTCCGACCAAACTCCCGGCGGCCAGAAAAAAGGTTTCACGTCTCACTTGTTCTCCAACTAACCTCCCGGCGGCCCCAAAAAAAAGGTTTCACCAACCGGCATCTCGAGTTCCATCCACCATAACCGAGACATAAATCCTTCACAACCTCCGACGAACCTACTGGCGCCGCATACGTGTAGACTTACTCCTCTGTGCATAGTTGCAGCCAAGTTTTAATACTTGAAAAAATTGCAGTTCGTCCTTCATTTCTCTCAGATATGGAGTCCGTCCTTTATATTTGGTTGTTTGAACAAGACAAAAAAATGTTAAGCACAACCATAAAATGAGCAAAATTTAAGCACAACCCACTTCAATTGCCCGTCTGGTACGCATATGAAAGCAAGCCATTCATCCTTTATTCCACCCAAATTCCCTCTTTCAAACTAGTATATAACATAGGCATACAAAGCAATCTCCCATTTCATGTCAAATACAAACAAACAAAACACTCTGTTTCCTTAATTTCCAACACTTCAATAGAAATTCGATTACTTCAACTCATTAAATTAATTCAGAAATTAAAAATAAAAAAAACACTTGTGAATCGCGATGCAATGTTTTGGTAAAGAAAAAAAAATGTTCTTCACCGTGTTCTTCAGTGGTGATTTGTCCTCGACTCTTTGAAGGCAAAAGAGAGGACATAAAAGAGGGAGAGGAAGTAATTTCCAACACTTAAACAGAAATTCGATTACTTCAACTCATCAAATTAATTCAGAAATTAAAAATAAAAAAACACTTGTGAATCGCGATGTAATGTTTCGGTAAAGTCGGAAAAAAATGTTCTTCACCGTGTTCTTCAGTTGTGATTTGTCCTCGACTCGTTGAAGGCATATTTTATGGTTAAAAGGGTCTGAAGCTCATCGGAGGCGGCAAAAGAGAGGATGTAAAAGAGGGAGAGAAGGTGAAAATTTCTCTGGAAATTGGTCATCGGCGACATATCGGAGTTCAGAGCCGGGATGAAGAACGACAACCACTGAAAATGAAGGTTTTGGAATGGCTGAAAATGGAGGTGTGAAATTTTGGGAGAAAGATATGTTTTCCCTGGCTTTCCATTGTTTCAGCCAGTCAATTGTATTTTTCTTTTAATTTTTTTTATTTTTGAAAAGTGCCACGTAAGCAGACTTTAAAATCCTGTAAAGATCCTGTAAATTCCTCCTGTACTTCTAGCATTATCCTATGTGAAATTCCCATTGATAAGCTTGTCAAGAATTTGCAATGATCCAATTTCAACAAGGATCATGCTATATGTATCGAATTTTTTTATCGAAATTTTTACATACTACTCACAATGGGGGTGAGGACCACATTGTTGAAATTTTTAAACACAGGCGAGCCTCGCGCAATATGTGAGAGGGGATAATCCATTATGTACAATTGTACAAACCATAATGTACAAATGGATTAACTCAAGGGGAGTAAACTCTCATTTGCCATGGTTCGAGCGAGGCCAATACTTAGCCCATTACAAGGCCCAAGGCCCCAAAAAAAAAGGCATTTCAAGGGAACAGTTACCTTCAAGAACACGTCCAAGCAGATCGGAGTTAAAAAATAAATAAATAAAATTAAAGAACAAGGAAAAACCTCTCCAAAATTTCAGTGTGAATAAAAAATTCTATCTTTTTTCCAAACATTTTGGAAGTGAATGGCGGAGAACAGGACGAAATCGTCTGATGACAAAGTAAATCTCGTAGAGGAATCGCCATCCCCTGCACAGCCTTCTGGAGAGAATGAAAATAGTGGTGGCAGTTGGGGTGGTTGGGGTTTTTCTCCATTTTCTTATCTATCGGATCTTCAGAAAGTTGCTACTGTCGCTGCCGAAGAGATCTCTCGCAATGTATGTCTACTGCACTTTTGAAGACGAATTTTAATTTAACGGGCAAATACATTTATGTACAGTTATATCGAGTTTTTAGCTCATATTGCAAAGCTGTGTGCATAAAGAAAGAAAACCCTATTTGATTAAATTTCTTACTTGTCCAAAATTAGGGCAAATTTTGGAGTTCTTTCTTTTATTTGGGAGAAAAAGAATATGTAAATCTACTGTTTTCTGGCATAGGTATATTATATCAATAATTCTGGGAAGAACCAAAGATTCAGAATTGTCGAGTCTATTTATGCATCACGATATATTAGAGACTATTTTCTGCTGTGTTTATGTTTTTAAAATCAGTAAAAAGTTGCATCTTTGATTTTATCTGTTTGAGCGATATGTAGCTTTTATTCAGAACTCGCATAGTTTCAGAGGAATACAGGTTTTGTTTAATAACTCAATTGTTAACAGTTGATGGCAGATTCTTTACTCTTAAAAAAACGAGAAAGCAATGATGGCAAAACTTTAATAAACATATATTATTAATGATCACGAGTTGCTGGGTAAATACATAAAATTATTTCATTTTCTTTCTGTCTGCCACAAATCACTTTTTTCTTAACACCAGGCTGCTGAGGTTGCTAAGAGCTTTACAGATGTGCAATCTACGGCTGAAGATTCAGAATCTTCAAAGGAGGATGGTACAGAAGCATCTGGTGTGGAAGATGAAAGTGAAGATGAGAATGTCAAACGACGCAAAGAAGCTCTGGACAAACTTGAGAAAGCTAGTGCAGATTCATTGCTTAGCCAGGTAAGTAATTTTTTGGTAAGATCTGTTAACTGTTAATCGCATTTCTACTACAAGAGAATGCAGTAGGCACTCTTCTTTCCCACACGTAGGGGTGGGCAAACCCGACCGAACCCGCCAAAACCGCCCCACCGACCAACCCGACCAGTTTGGGTTGGTTTTTTTGTTGTTTTTATACGGATTTGGTGGGTTGATTGTGTAAGCAGGTTGGGTCGGGTCGGATCGGGTTATGGGTTAACTCATAAAAATCGAATAAAATTGCCCAACCTAACCCAACCCAACCCAACCCAACCCGACTATATTTATGAACTTTACAAGTGTTATGATGTTGCTTGGAAACTCTTAAAATAATATTATAAGACTTGGATAGAATGCATTTTACGGAAAATAGTATAAGCAAATATATATTCAACACAAAAATATTTTAATTGCCAAAAATATTTCTTTACTTCATATAATTTAATATTAATCTGTCCATGTAACATTTTCGGGCATGAAGTGTCAAGATAATTTAGATTTTTTTGTTCCTTGCAACTATGGAGACCAAATATTATATAAGTCAATTATAAATTCGTCCAACCCGATCCGCCTACTTTAGTCTTTGTTGACAAGTTGTCCCAACCCGCCCCGACCGATACTTGGTTGGGTTGGGTTTCAACCTTTACACTGGTTGGGTTGAGTTAAATTATGATCAAACCGATCATGTTGGATTGAGTTCAGATTGAGGCAAAAACCGACCTAACCCAACCCATGCCCACCCCTACCTACACGTGTTTCTCTCTATTTCCTCTATCCTAGCATACAAAACTAATTTTGCCCTTGTTTGGGCCCCATTATTTGGAAAGAATGAATTTTGAATAAGAGATTGATGGAGAATGTGTTGTTAAAAAATAAGGAAAAATTTTGGATTTACGTATAATATTATTTTATTGAACAATGTGTGGTTGAAAAGAAGAAAGAGAAAAATGAATTTTTGAAATAATGGGGATCAAACAAGGGCTTTATTTTAGATGTACCAATACATGTATGTTTTATTCTTAGTTATTCTTGATTGCTTTAAAGTTGATATAAAAGAGTGAATGCTAACAATACCATCCTGTCAACAAATGCATATGAAAGATATGTGAGTTTCCGTTTGCCAGAAATCATTCTCAACTCAGATGATGCACACCCATTTCCTTGTGAACATGCAGGGTGTGAAGGTTTTTGATGATTCAGTGGATTCTCTAACCTCAGGAGCTTGGCAAGCATTAGGAAATGCATGGAAAGAGGGAGCCAATTTAGTTCAAAAGTATGTTTGAATAGTAGGCAGTTCTTCTCATATAGTTGTCCTTTTGTAGATTGTAGAATTTGGAAACTCATGTTTAATTCAGTTCATATTTCGATTTGATAAATATATCCTCTTGTTTCTATAAAACTGAACTAATACATAAATAAAGACTATGATGTTGGTGATCTTGGTTTCTGAATCCTCCCATCAATACTTTACTAGACCCAGACTTCGTAATTTATCGTCTGTTTCTAGAAAAAAAGTTTGTTGAGTGTGGCTTAAACCAAAATGCCACTCGAAGCAAAAGATTGTGTTTTCTGACATTTTCCAGGACGATGCCTTGGTTTTGTCTTGTGATCTTGCGTTACAAACTCAGCAACCTGGTGCTGGTTGCTCTTTAGCTGGAACTGTCTATTTTTATTTTTTTTATTTTTACTGTGCATTGGTGCAAGCCATGCTTCTCTTTCTTCTTATGTTTCACTGGTTGTTCTTTCAGCATGCTACCTATTTCTAATTAAGGAGAAAATTGAAATTTTTACTTTTTAATGCATTCTTTAGGTTAGCGTGCATTTTTGTGGATGTTCACTGGTAAAGTCAAACTTTATGGGCAAGTCTGCTTTTGTAGATATAGGATTACTTTTAAAGGATCTCTTCAATTATAATAGTAACGTATTTTTCCATTTGAGTAATTTTATTTTCTACCTCTTCCAGGCTTGAGAACTCAGCTTCAAATTTTGCTGAATCAATTCAACATGGTGCTCTACCTGGGTCAACTGGTGCTGCTGCACCATCTCTAGTGGAGGTTTGAACCTGCATATTTCTCTCTTCTTGAGTTTTCCGATATTTACAGTTGCACGTGTTTACAGACCGGAAAGGCTTTTACTGCAAAGGGAATACAAGTACTTGAGCAAGTTGGCAAAGAAACTATGGATCTTCTGATTGCAGAAACTGGTATTGAAGTTGAGGGAAATACTAAGGAATCTGAGGGGAGAACAGATGAAGATCAACAGTTCGAAGAAGTCACATTTGAGCGATACTTCTATATCTACGGAGGTCCAGAGCAGTTGGAGGTCACTCAGCTATTATTTTGTTGATGTTCGTCTTTATATGCTTAATTGTATATCAACCTTGTTTGTAACTCTTATCCCATGTTGACTCACAGGAGCTGGAGGCATTGTCTAACCATTATGCCTTACTATCTAACCGAAGAAAGGCTAAGCTCTCAACTGAACAAAAAACTATATATGATGGAAAGTTAAAAGACGTCCAGCGTGTTTTCAACTTGGGTGCTGAACTTGATGGAAACAGCACAGACTCAGGCAAAGGGAAGAAAGTAGAGGCTGAAACCGATGACAGCTCTGATGAATTGAAAAACTTACACGATTCCAGTGTTCGCAAGGCTGCTGAATTGTCTGCGGGGTAATTTTCCCTTCAATAGCATTTGTTTCATTTTGTCCATTAGGCCATCCTATCATCATGAGTGTTTACTGTGTGCAACCCGTGGCATCATAGTGGGAAACTTGATGTATATGGAAAGTTACTATATATTTCATATTTTATCTATTGGTTATTGTGGTATAGAGAGGGCGATCTTTATGGTTTGAAAAATCTGATTAGCAGAACGATAATGAAGGCGGTCTTACACAGAGATATCAGATGTTGACCACAGATTTTGCATATCCCTTTCTTTTAACTCTTGTATCTATCAGAAGCTTGGAAGTTGAAATGTGATTGTAATTATGGAACTAAAACTTCTTTTTGCTGTTGCAGTTTTGTAAGTTCTTTGGCTGGACTTGTGCCAAATGACATAATTCAAAGAACTGCAGGGAGACTGGATTCTCTTCATTCAGATGGTGTTCACGTATGCAGATCAGGGTTTTACTTGTAACAGAAATCTTGTAATAAGATAATTTCATGGTTAGTCATTGGCTTTAATTTAAAATTTGTCCTGTCGTTACAGAGGCTTTCTGAAATGTGCTGTTGTGCGATAACTCAACTTTTGATGCTTGGGAAATCGATCATATCCAATGCAAACAGAGTTCGAGACCAAGAGATTTACGAGGAAACAGTGAAGATTGCCTGGCCTGAAGATTCTGTTGAAAGAGCTAAGATAATCAGAATGCAAGCACTATCAATGACTGGAAAAATCGAATCAGTTTTCAACAGTTTCATTAAAGGTATGTTGTTTTAGATTCCTTTACTTTTTTTTTTTGCCCACAATAACAGTATTAAATAGTAGATCAATTTGCCTTCACTTTTGTATTTGAGCTTGTTTCTTATTTTCTTTTCATTAAGTGGTTGATATGGTTTGCTCAGGCATATCAGATATAACTGAAGCACATTCAGCAGCTGTTAAAAGCGCTATGGCTGATTATCAAGTTAACTCTCAGAAATCAATTCAGGAGAAGGCAAATACATTCTCAGAACAGTTCCGTGCTGATCACAGTACAGCCTTGGGGGAAAATTCAGGATGGACTACTGTACTTGCCTTATGTGGTTCTCTCTACCTCAATACCTGCTGCTTGAATGTCGAAAATGTTTATCCCATGCAATTGCGCACAGATAATTCTCTTATTTGATTTATTTGCAAATTATGGTGTTATGACTGGTTTACCCTGTTATATTGCTCACTAGTTTCTCCTAGAATAAATATACTTCCAAAAAAAAAAATTTATCATCACTATTTGCTGTTCTTTGTCCTGCTGGTTTTTTCCGAGGGGAAGAAATAGGTTGTCGTGGGAGAAATTGACAAATCAGTCATCTATTAATTGAACACAGGCCAAAATCTGCCCTAAAGGCTGAAAGATATCCCCTGTGACTGAAACACAATTTGTGGCTTTCTTCTGCTGCGTAGTGCATACAGAAGAGAGGAGGAAAGTTCGACGACATGAGGCAAATCCAATGGGTTTTTTACTTTTGGCATATGAAAAATGGGATTTCGGCTTCACATCGATCAGAGGATGGGAGCTGCAGGAGTGGTCAATTATCGGCTTAGTATTCTCCTAATGTTATGTAACCAACCATACAAGGATTCAGATATTGTATTTAATTTAATTATTATAAGATTTAGATTTGCTATAAGCTTTTGAATAGCTTTCAATATATTTCATTTTAGATGATTGATGGTCTAATGTCAAATGATTTCCCATCCATTTCTTTTGTTGGAATTCTGAAATGCTAATGAATGTGAAACCAAGTTTCTTGATTTCTGTGGCTTAACTTCTAACAATTTTCTGTTGGAGAACCTTTAGGTAAAACAGTTGATGGGAAATATCCCAGATTGTACTGTTAATTAACATTCATACGCTCTGTATTTTTATAGCAAATCTAAACCTTATAATAATTGAGGCAAGAATAAGCAAAACAGTTTAGTTCCAGGAAAAAAAAAAAGAAGAAGATGAATTTGCTCCTAGTGATGGTGCCTGCCCATTGATTACAGGATTGGACTCTGGAAACTATGTTAGAGAGACCATTATACGTTTAAAATGAAGAAGACATGTCATGGGAGCTAAGATTGTCTGGTGAGAAAAATGGATCAGTAAGTCGAGTTTTTACGTCTGATAAAGAGAAGGTAAGAGAAAAAGTATTTGCAATGCTGGATGATCGAACGTAGCCCCTGGATGAAGTAAAAGAAACTTACAAAAGGCAAGCTGACGCATTATTGGGATAGGTTCCATAATAAGATATTGTGATTTGTGTCCAGGTTCAATGTATATGTCAATAATTGATGAATTATTACAAACAAAGAAATATGATTCATTGAACCTAATCGCCACCGTTACCTTAAAAGGGGAATATCAATCTATCTCCAAACGTTTCAGCCATGGGAGAAGTGGATCCTGCATTCATCCAATCCCTTGAACACCAGCCCAAACTTGACATCACTGAAGCCGAAGGAATCCCGTTAATCGATCTTTCTCCATTGAATTCTTCTGATACTGGTCCTGAGTTTTCAAATTTAGTAGCTGAGATAGGTAATGCTTGCAAGAACTGGGGTTTTTTCCAGGTGATCAACCATGGAGTGCCATTAAAGTGTCGTGAAAAGATTGAATTAGCGGCAAGGAAATTCTTTGCTTTGTCGAAAGAGGAGAAGAAGAAGGTCGGTAGAGATGAAGTCAACCCTTTGGGATATTATGATACTGAGCACACTAAAAATGTTAGGGACTGGAAAGAAGTTTTTGATGTTACTGTAATGAATCCAACAATTATTCCAGCTTCTCATGACCCTGAGGATAAGGAGCTTAAAGAGTTGATCAATCAGTGGCCTGAAAATCTTCCAGAACTAAGGTATGTTTAGATTGAGTGAAACTCCATAGAAATATTCAGAAATTTTAACACGTGAAATTTCATTGTGTGTATGTATTGTACATATTTCATCACCTGTTTAGCCTGATTTCGAGAAGGACAAACCAATATATACTAGAAGATATGAATAAATAAACCTCGCTTTTCTGATTGTTTAAACTTTAAATCAAAATGAGCATTCAATATAGTAGTAAGGTTATTGTTGGGGAAGTTCCAAGTTGGAAAGAGAAAATGTTATACTTGTTCCATTTGCATCTACGGTATTGAGGCTTGGATTTTCATCTTAAAAAGTCTCAAACTCTTATGTGTTGGTTAATAATGTTATCCTTGATCTCTCAAGACATTTCCAAGGTCCCAAGTAAGAAGGAAGGGTGCACTGAAGGCCATTTTTCAGTAAGGCTAAAATTGACTTCCTAGAATAAAAGGAGACTTTATAAACGAAAAACTTTTTTAAGTAGGTTCTTTTACTTTGACCTTGTGAAAAAGGCTCTTTAACAAAATCGTATGGTATCAAAGTTACACATTTTTGCAAGAAATGAAAAAATGAGTCTGATCTCAAGTGATGTGTTGAAAACATCAATAAATAAATGACAGACCTTTATCTTATCACCTAAAACTTTCAGTTAAAGTGGGATTCAGTGTACCGAATTACTTTCAGCCATCCAGATATATAGTTCTATAAAGGTGATAACAAAATTTATGTGTGTTTGAAATTTAAGTAAGTTGCCTCTTGCAGGGAGGCTTGTGAAGAATATGCAGCAGAAATGGAAAAACTAGCTTACAAGATACTCGAACTCATTGCCTTAAGTTTAGGCTTGCCAAAAACTCGATTGAATGGCTTCTTTAAGGATAATACTAGCTATATCAGGCTCAATCACTATCCGCCATGCCCTTCTCCTCATTTAGTGCTTGGTGTGGGTCGACACAAGGATGCTGGTGCCTTGTCAATCCTTGCTCAAGATGAGGTTGGAGGACTTGAAGTGAAGAGGAAAACAGATGGAGAGTGGATTCTTGTCAAACCTACTCCTAATGCTTATATTGTCAACGTTGGCGACATTATCCAGGTATCATTTCAGAATTTTGATATTTGATTTTTGCTGCGGTAGTTATTCAATTAATCCTGTTTTAATTTCTCTCAGTTTAGTTATGATTTAAGGAATCTTAAGGGCTTGCGCAAAATATAGGTTCTAGCCGCACATAAAAAATTTCTCAAGAAGGACCAGATTGAATAATTTTTCTGGTTCTTATATGGTTGCCTAATGCCATCTGTTACATGAATAATTATACAGGTTTGGAGCAATGATAAGTACGAGAGTGTGGAACATAGAGCGATGGTCAATTCTGAGAAGGAAAGATTTTCAATTCCATTCTTTGTGCATCCTGCACATTATACTTGGGTGGGACCCCTGGAGGAGCTGATAAACGAACAAAACCCTGCCAAGTACAAGGCTTATAACTTGGGAAAGTTTATTACCACCCGAAAACGCAGTAATTACAAGAAACTTGATGTCGAAAACATTCAAATATGTCATTTCCGGATTTAGACTTTTAGAGGAAGTTTCTTCTATTCATGGCCCATATGTACGTTATAAGCGCGCGCTTATTACAACGATGGTGTTTTTCTCCTATCTTGTCATTCCAAACATAGTGAAAGGGTAAATTAAAATATATAGGGGGTGTTTGACACCAATTTTAGTAGAAAAATGTGTTTTTGAATAGTGATTGATGGAAGAATGTGTGGTTAAAGAGTAAAGAGAATTTTTGGGTTTATGTGTAATATTATTTTATTGATAAAATATGTTGTTGAAATGAAGAAAGAGAAAAAAAATGAGAAATAGAATAGGTGTCAAACATTGGCTAAAATTTCTGAATCCTGGAATAGCAATCAGGTTTTGATTGAATTTGTTTCATGATAGAATTGGGCTTATTGTTCAAGTTCTACATATTGCTAGTGGTGTAAAAACAAGAGGGCTGGCCCACTTCACTTTGACTAGATATAGCTGACATGTATTCTTGATTTTAGCCATTTCCGTATTGCTTTCTGGAGGATATGTATATGTAGCTTTCTTGCTCTTTTGCAGGAATTGTTCCCCAGAAGTTAGAAATCCTGTCTATGCTTTATCTCAATAAAAGTCACAATTTTCTTTATTTAGGCAAATGCATTGGTATGGCTTTTATACATAATAGATCCATAGAAAACAGTAAATTGACAAGTTCAACTATTACACTTTATGATTCAAACCATTGGACACCAAGATTTCACGAATTGAAGGCTCAGAGATATTGTACCTTCTGTATTAACACAGAAAACCCATATTCACCCAAGAACCCTCACAATTGCAGGTAACGTGCAGCTACTTCTATGGACTAAAAGAACTCAACACTACCATCAAAAGATCACACTCTTTCACAAAGAAAACTCACTATTTAGAGTTACTCGAACCAAAGGAGTAAATGAAAGAGAAGACATAATACTCTAGAAAATCCTCAAGAAGATGAAGACCAAATAATAGAATCAATCTACGGTTTCAACCAAGGAGAGCATATATCGATATTGAGGAAGCTGTTGATCAACAGTCCAAAGTAATTTGCGCCTTTAGTAATATGGTAAAACAACCAAAGTCGCATTTACCAAACTTGATTTCTATCTAGACTTGTATATTGGGCTTGGGTTTCACTGGGCTCCTTTAGTTAACGTTATCGAGCAATAGATAGGAGCACGGGCCAAGCCCTTTCATCATAGCCTAAAGTATTGGGTTGGATCTGGCATCACAGCCCCAGCAGCTTTCTTAGTTTATGCTGTCAGGAAGCAGTAAACATAATAGAAAACTACGAAAATTTTACATCATATTTGGTCCCGTTTAGAGGCATTGCCTTTTATGAATTTTATAGGCAGTAAACAGATGCACACTGCTTAAATAAACACTTACAGGGTGTTTTTAAGTGGGATCAAATTTGCTAACCATATACTATATCGACAGTGAGTAGTAGTCCCGTTGCATTCATCTAGTTGCCTGTCGAACCACTCTAGTGGCTCAACCGTTGTTGACCAAGCTCCATATCTTTTAGTTGTTTCTTTTCAAAAATCATAAAATAGCTTTCTTGTTCTTGAGCATCTCAAGTTCAATAACTTTGTTCTTTTGCTCTCAAAAGACGGAGATTGGGAAAAAAAAATAAGAAGAAGAACAAAGGTAGGTACCATCATACTATAGATTCCTTTGTTTACGGAGAAATTTTTTCCTCAAATAACTACAACGACAGAGGAACAACTGTTAACAACATGAGCTACCTTAAACCAATATATTGAATCAATTCAAAAAGAAGAAGAAGAAGAATCAATAATATATTGAGCCGTCAAAAATTAGGTTTTTTTTAAATGAAATACACAAGTTTATATATTACAAGAAAAGTAAACAAAAAGAAAATTTATAAAAGAAGGAAACTAAATATTATGAAATAATAGGCTCACATAAACCACTAAGAAACTATTGCTTTTAAAAAAAATTGCCAGGATAATTAAGGAGAGTTGTAGTAGTTAAGATGAATTAATGTAGCGTCAATTTTGAAGAGTCGTTGAAGTAGTTAAGGGATTTAGTGAGAAGTAGATGAATTTAGGCTGGAGGAGAAACATTTTATGCTAGCTTTCAACATTCTCGTGTCCATTTTTCACATTTTCCTTTTTTATTCCTGTTTCTGATAATTTACTCGATCCTTTGAACCTTCACTCAAACGAATGTTCTAATTTTCCTTGTGTTGTTCAGTTTTATTTTTTCTGGGTTTTACTTTTCCATGCCTTCTTGTTTATATTTATTTTCCTTTTGGGGTCACTTCAGCAGTGAATTTTTGAATCTCTGACACTGTTTTGATTTCTCTATTAGGTTTCTAAGTGAATGTAGTTGATAGCTTTACAAAATTCCCCAGAGAAGATTCAAAATTTCAAAGACCATAATTTTTGAGCTTTTGAGCTGCATGGCAGTTGAATTGTGACTATCCATTTTCGTTGGAGTTTTATAGGTCTTGGGAGATGTCATTTAGAGATAAAGTTGAAGCGATTTTGAATTTTGCTTATAGAGAATAGACTCGAGAGCGAAAGAATAATTATCTAAGCAAGGACTGTGACAACCGATATTTTGTAACACTATACAAGGTTTAGTCGCACCTAATAATCCGTGGTCGTAGGCCAAATGTACAGATTGGCTCTGTTGTTGAGAAAATTATGTTCCAGTGAATGAAAACATGTAGTGGAAGATGATTTGCCATTTGACAACTCAATGTATGGTGCACAATACATCTGGGTTTCCACGTACATATAATGATAGGAAAGTAGTGTCTTGATAACATGTGATAAAGATAAGGTAAAGATAAAAATATTTCTAACATTGGATGATCGAACATAATCCCTCCGATGAAGTGAAAGGATCCAATCACATTTTCATGGAGTCACCAACTAAGTTTCTTGTTCATCTTTTATGTATTAATATTATTAAATCACATCACATCATTTAAAAGTTTAAATTACTAGAGAGGGACATGTTTATTTGTTAGATGTTAGTTTTGACAAAAATTCTGACATGTACAATTCTTGAAAATGGGTAATGATGAGACTTGATTCTTTTGCCAAGTCAACTCACCCCATCTTAAAGTTTAAGTTATTAGATAAGGGACATTAATTTTAACTAATTTAAAGTTAGTCTTCAAGTATGTTTGGTCTTGGCCACATTCATATTGCTTTCTAAAGGCATTTGTAACTTTAATTCTCTTCAAGTAGCAATGTTAGTAACAATGTTCTTTATATATTTGTATAGATGCCTGGCATTGTCACAAGTTTCATAGTTTATCACAAATTTTTACAAGATAATTTTTTGATGACTTCTTAGGCACATTTAGAGGGTAGAATGGAAATAGTCTGTACGTGTCATTTTTGTCATTGTCAACTTTTACAGGGAATTGCCCGTGATTATCTGGCATAAAAAGATTGCAGGGCCGCCGTTTAGGTGATCCCAATTCAGAAACTTACAAAAGGCAAGCAGAAAACATTACTTAGGATAAGGTTCCTAATTAAATATTTAGTCCGGGTTCAATGTACATGACAGTAATTAACATAGTATAACATGTTGTGCACCAACTTTTCACTGTTACCTCAAAGAGATACTATCAAACTATCTTCAACAATTCAGCCATGGGAGAAGTGGATCCTGCTTTCATCCAAGCCATTGAACATCAGCCTAAACTTGACATAACTGAAGCCGAAGGCATCCCATTAATCGATCTCTCCCCGCTGAATTCCTCTAATACAGATGCTGACTTGTCAAGTTTAGTAACTGAGATAGGTGATGCTTGCAAGAACTGGGGGTTTTTCCAGGTGATCAACCATGGGATGCCATCAAAGTGTCGTGAAAGGATTGAATTAGTGGCGAGGAAATTCTTTGCTTTATCGAAAGAGGAGAAGAAGAAGGTCAGTAAAGATGAAGTCAACCCTTTGGGATATTACGATACTGAGCTTACTAAAAATGTCAGGGACTGGAGAGAAGTGTTCGATTTTACTTTAATGAATCCGGCAATTATACCAGCTTCTCCTGAGCCTGAGGATAAGGAACTTAAACAGTTGATTAATCAGTGGCCTGAATATCCTCCTGAATTAAGGTACCTTTAGATTGAATGGATTATGGATATACTTGAATATATAAATAAAATTAACTACTCATTTTTCTGATCGTCTAAACTTTTATATGAGGTAACCATCTGATGTTACTCAGGACCACTTGAGATGTTACAGAATTCCTAATCAAGAAAGGAAGAGTACAGCGAAGCTCGTTTCTAATAAGGCTAAATTAGATTTTCTAGCATAAAAGAAGACTTTCGAAACAATTTTTTTTTATAGGCTCTCACTTTGACCATGTTAACAGTGCTCTCTAAAAAAATTGGTCGTATTGTCCAAAGTTACAAGTTTACAAAAGAATAATGAGTCCAACCTCGTGTGATGTGTTGAATATATAAATAAATAATGTGTAATGAACTACTCTTAACAATCCAGTTATAGAGCCCTGGAAAGGTATTGTAACTCTGTTATCATAATTTGTGTGTGTTTAAACTTTAATTGAACTGCCTCTTTGCAGGGATGCTTGTGAAGAGTATGCTGCAGAAATGGAAAAACAAGCTTACAAGTTACTCGAACTCATTGCCTTGAGCTTAGGCTTGCCGAAAACTCGATTGAATGGCTTCTTTAGGGATAACAATAGTTATGCCAGGCTCAATCACTATCCACCATGCCATGTTCCTCATTTAGTGCTCGGTCTTGGTCGACACAAGGATGGCGGTGCCGTGACCATCCTTGCTCAAGACGATGTTGGAGGACTTGAAGTGAAGAGGAAAACGGATGGAGAGTGGATTTTTGTCAAACCTACACCTAATGCTTTTATCGTCAATGTTGGTGACGTAATGCAGGTATCACAGATGTATTTTGACATATGATGTTTGTTGCTGTTGTCATTTCACGTAATCCCATTTTACATTTCTCCCTGTATGGTTTCGTATTAAGGATAATGTTGAAGAGAAACTCTTGGTTATAATCATAGTCCATAGACGAATAAAAAGGACTTGCACAAAATATAGGTTCTAGTCCCAAAATGAAATTTCTTAAGAAGGGTCAAGTTGGAGAGTTAAAACAAAAATAGCCGTACTCATTCATTTCCTTCGGAATGGTCTCACTTTAGTTAATATCAAAAAATACTCTGCTACACTCCCTCCGCCTTCTCCCTTGTTGCATCCTAGCCCCCCTTTGATTTATGTAGTTCCATTGGCAGATGGTGGGGGACAGAGTAGAGGTGGTGGTTCTGGTATTTGTTGGGTTGTTTTGAATAAGGGTGGGGTGGTGCTGAAGAGTTCTTGTTTAATGGTTACGTAATTTCATTTCTAACAAGGATATTTAAACAGGTTTGGAGTAATGATAAGTACGAAAGTGTAGAGCACAGGGTGATGGTCAATTCTGAGAAGGAAAGATTCTCATTTCCATTCTTCTTCTCTCCTGCACATTCCACTTGGGTGGAACCCCTGGAGGAGCTGATAAACAAAGATAATCCTGCCAAATACAAGGCTTATAACTGGGGAAAGTTTTACGCGAATAGAAGGCGCAGTAATATCAAGAACCTTGGTGTCGAAAACATTCAAATTTATCATTTCAGGATTTAGACTTTAGAGCAAGTTACTTGTGTCCATATCCCATATGAATAATGTAAGTGCTTACAAACCTACAGCTTTGGTTTCTTGTTTAAGCTTATTTTCTGTGAATTAATAAACTTTTCAGAAACATCAGACACAAATTCAGTCCAATTTTCTTCAAGGCACTTCAGTCATCATGTTGAGGCAATATTGGCTCTCGCCAGCAGCATGATAGGATTTTCTAGCGAATTTGTTCCACAATAAAAATAAAAAAAAGGTTTCCGTACTAAACCCCTGTTAAAAATTGAGGAGATCTCTTAGAAAGGACTTACGACTAATAATGCATGGTTACTTTTGATGAAGTCATATTACTCTTTTTAATCTCTTTTAAACCAAAAAATGAAAACATACTATTGGGTTAAAAACCTGGCTGGGCCCCAAACTTTACGCCATGCACGAAAAATTCGTTAGACCCTTAAATTGATCATAGTTATGGTGTCTGCCCATATAGCAGGATTGGACACTGGCAACTACGTGAGTGAGACCGTCATATACACACATGTCGGGGAGCTAAGGTTGTCTGTCAACAAATATGGATAGTAAGTCGAGTCTTCATATTATCCGACAAAGGCAAGATAAGACATAAGTATATCCTACGATGAATGAACGAACATAAACCGCAAATGAAGTGAAATAAATAAAAAGGATCTGATAACATGGTCATGATTACTAAGCCAATTGAGCTTCTTGTTCAACTTCTAGATATTGCTAACAACACATATAGCTTTCTGGAGGACATGTACAAGTAATTTTTCCTGGTATTTTGCAGGATTTGTTCTCCAGGAGTTTAAAATCCCTTCATTTATCAGCTCAATAAAAAACATAATTTTCTTTATTTATCTGTATTGTTGGCATTTTTATTACTGTCTCCGTTATCAAAGATTAGTATAAGATAATTTTATAATGACAATCTTAATCAAATTTAAAGGGTTGCAATCCAAACACAAGATATGATATTTTTTTTTTTCCGTGGCTAAAGCCACTGAGTGATGAGCGTGGGTTTTAAGCCTCACACTCAAACTTCGTGGGGGTTAGGTGATACAATTCTGGTTTAGTACACTGGATTATACGCAATCAACATTACTTAAAATAAACAACGCGGGTTAGGTGATCCAAGGAACTGACACATTACTTCGAAAATAACATATTGTGTCCAAGTTCAATGTATAATATCAATAATTGACAAAGTATTACCACTAATATATATGATTAAGTGCACCAATTTTTAAAAGTGATCTTAAAAGACGTACTATCAACTAAAAACTCAGCCATGGGAGAAGTAGATCCTGCATTCATCCAAGCCCTTGAACACCAGCCTAAACTCGACATCACTGAAGCCGAAGGCATCCCAGTAATAGATCTTTCTCCACTAAATTCCTCTGATACTGATGCTGACTTTTCAAGTTTAGTAGCTGAGATAGGAGATGCTTGCAAGAACTGGGGATTTTTCCAGGTGATCAACCATGGGGTGCCGTTAAAGTTTCGTGAAAAGATTGAATTAGCAGCAAGGAAATTCTTTGCTTTGTCAAAAGAGGAGAAGAAGAAAGTTAGTAGAGATGAAGTCAACCCTCTGGGATATTATGATACTGAGCATACTAAAAACGTCAGGGACTGGAAAGAAGTGTTTGATCTAACACTAAAGAAACCAAATATTGTTCCGGCTTCTCACCAATCTGATGACAAGGAGCTAAATCAGTTCATGAATCAGTGGCCTGAAAATCTTCCAGAATTAAAGTAAGTTTAGTTTAGATTGAACCAGAATAGGAAATTTCATTTCCAACTACATCTATTCCTTTCTATTGATACAATTTTAGAACAAAATTACGTTGCTTGATCATTGAAGACCATAAACTTCCCAGAAAGGCAACATAATTTATGTGTTTAATGAACTGCTTTCTTCAGGGAGGCTTGTGAAGAGTATGCTGAAGAAATGGTAAAACTAGCTTACAAGTTACTTGAACTCATTTCCTTGAGCTTAGGCTTGCCAAAAACTCGATTGAATGACTTCATTAAGGACCATGCTAGCTTTTTGAGGCTCAATCGCTATCCTCCATGCCCTGCTCCTCATTTAGTGCTCGGTGTTGGTAGACACAAGGATCCCATTGTTTTGACCATCCTTGCTCAAGATGATGTTGGAGGACTTGAAGTGAAGAGGAAAACTGATGGAGAGTGGATTCTTGTCAAACCTACACCTAATGCTTATATCATCAACGTTGGTGACATAATCCAGGTACAAATTTGATTTCTGCTTCAGTAATTATTTCACTTAATCCCGTCTGAACTTTTCCCTTGTTGTTGAATAAGACATCTTTTTATGGTTGCCTTGTATCACTTGTTACGTGAATATTTATACAGGTTTGGAGCAACGATAAGTACGAAAGTGTGGAACATAGAGTGATGGTCAATTCTGAGAAAGAAAGATTCTCAATTCCGTTCTTCCTGAATCCCACAAGTTCCACTTGGGTGAAACCCATGGAGGAGCTGATAAACAAGCAAAACCTTGCCAAGTACAAGCCTTATAACTGGGGAGAGTTTTTAGCCAAAAGGGCACGCAGTAACTATGAGAAACTTGATATCGAAAACATTCAAATATCTCATTTCAGGATTTACTCGAGGAAGTTACTTCTGTTTATATGAATATATACGCGTATGTGCTTAGGTAGTTAAAGCATTGGCTTTCTTTTGTAAGCTTATGTTCTGTGAATGAATAATAAAATCATGATCTTCTTCTTTAATGGACTCTTAAAATTAAACAAAGAGAGGAAAGTCCTCGATTCCAAATTCCAATTATCAATTTATTCAAGTAAAAATCTAGCCTGGCCTTCCATTTATTAGCATAAACATTTAGCACCCTTATTGATAATTCTGGTTCTAATGCTTCATGGAATTCTGATACTTGATTACATTGAAAAATCAGAAACAATATATCAAATTTTCTTTCCAAGGTATAATGGAGTACGATTAAAATATCGAGTGTGCCCAAATTGCACTTTTGAATATAATTCTACTACCTTAGTTGCAACAACCCTTCCAAGATTTTTGAAGTTTGAATCAATAGGACCTGAATCCATTCATATGTCACGATAACGAGAATGTGCAAAAGGAAATGTATTTTAAGCATATGAACATCATTTCACAACAATCGTAACTTTTCTATGACCAACTTGGAATAGGAGCTCGAATTCAATGGCATTCATTAGAGGAGAACGAAAAACAAAGTAAGCTTCAAAGTTCAAAGTATAATATTCATAGTCAATATAATACTACTTACCCATTTGAAAAAGAAAGATATGACTAGTTTATTTTGTAAGCAGTTGCCTTTTAAGACTAAGTGTGACGCTACCCTTCTTACAGTTACTGATTATATATGAATTCATGATTCTATGCCTCGGCCAAAAATTGAAAGAAAAAAAAAATAAAGCATGGAGAATAGAAACGTGTATTTGCTCTCCAGTTTTCTTCTAATTTTCCTTGTATTCTCTGTGAATCTTGCAAGATCAGAGTCCCATTTTGTGCTGGTTCATACAGCAGGCCATGGAGCCTGGTGCTGGTACAAATTAGTGTCATTGCTAAAATCATCAGGTCATAATGTCACGGCTCTTGATTTGGCCGCCTCGGGAATTAACCCAAAGCAAGTGCTGGATGTTCCGTTTGTATCTGATTATTTCAGGCCACTGACGGAATTCATGGCTTCTTTACCCCGACACGAGAAGGTGATCCTCGTTGGTCACAGCTATGGCGGATTGGCTATTTCTCATGCCATGGAGAGGTTTTCGGAGAAAATTTCTGTTGCGGTTTTCGTCGCAGCCTTAATGCCTGGTCCACACACCAATTTTTCTATATTCTTCCAAGAGGTATGCCTCATATATATTGCTCTATTAAGCTTCATTTTAGACTGCAGAAGTATGACTATCAGATCAAAACTGTGAAATTTTCTTTTCAAAATTTTGTTTAGACAACAAGGAGCGAAGGCGATTTTTTGGATACTCGTATAGCATACGATAATGGACCTAAGAATCCTCCGACAAGTTACACCTTGGGATCAAAATACATGTCTGAAAAACTTTATCAGCTCAGCCCAATCGAGGTAAGTGAGAGACTAAATAATTTGAAAGATGAAAACAAGATGAATTTGCTCGTAGTCATGGGGTCCTTCAATTTATTGCAGGATTGGACATTGGCAACAATGTTAGTTAGACCATTATATGCATACGCGACACAAGATTTCTCGCGGGAGCTAAAGTTATCTGGTGATAAATACGGATCAGTAAGTCGAATTTTCATAATGACTGATAAAGACAAGGTACGACAGAAGTATTTCCAACGTTGGATGATCGAACATAATCGCCCCAATGAAGTGAAATTTATCAAAGGATCCGATAACATGGTCATGATGTCAAAGCCAAAGGAGCTTCTTGTTCAATTGCTAGATATTGCTAAAAAATATTCTTGATTATAGTTTAACTTCCCAGCTTTTTTCACAGGAATTATTCGCATTGAGTGAGAAATATTTCCATGCATCAGATTAATAAATTCACAATTTCTTGGACTAGTATAATATAATTTTTGGAATGACTATTTTCAAATTTGTGGAGTGCGTGTTATCTGTAGTTGCCATTTTTGACATTTCTAATTTTTGACTGTTCTAAACAAAACTGATAATGATAATTTATATACAAAAAACCATGAAGATTTAGCCTCACGTAGAGGGGACGCAATTGACCGTCTCGAGCTGCTTAAAAGTTAACAACAAATAAAAATGTAAAGGAAGAAACGTTTGATGATATAATCTGCTGTTGTTCACTCGTAAAACTAAAATTTCAAGAAAAAAAGTTGAAAAAACTCTTCTGACGGAGAAACTGAACAAGAAATCAAGGGAGAATACCAATATACACTGCAGGAGGAACAGCGTAATTTAATAGATTTGTAGTTTGATATATAACACTTTTATTAACCCTCCACCAATTGAGAACATCAAAAGCATTGCCCTCTATATCTTCAAAAGCGTCCGACAAGTATCTCTCCACATCATTTTTCATTTCAACCAAATCTTTTGCTGCTCGTTTTCTCTTAAACCTGAAAATACAAGTAGAAGACACACTTGGAGTAGGACTTTCTTCTGCAGAAGAAAACTCACTTGAAGAATCCGCATCGAGAAATACTTGACTTCTTTCATAACTTACTTCAAATTTCACATACTTTTAGGTTGTGCTAAAATTCCCCATGATTTGGAAGTTTGATTCATGGAGGAATTCTAGATAATTTTGGGTCAAAAGTCCGGATTGATGAGATCAAATTTCATCATGGATTGGAAGTTCAATTAGAGAAATTACTTTGGAATGGATAAGAAAGTGTTTTGGAAGCATTGGGTCCGAGACGAAGCGCCGATAGCGCAAAGGGAGGCAATGGCATGGGCGTCGGGGTCCACAGCGCTCAATGCCAATTGGCCAGTAGGCAGCCAGCACCCTGACACCAGGTGGGTAGTGCCACGACGCCACTGGTACAGCAAAATTCGTTTCCTTGTTGATTTCTACTGCTTTTTTGTGATCTACTTCATCTAAAACTCCAAAATTGGACTCCTATATATACTCCACGAGGTATAGGATCTTCGTAGACTCCACTAAAAATAATATCATTGTTGTATACATTAGAAACTTGAAAGAATTGTTTAGATTTAGATTGAGAGTATTAAATCTTGTAAAACAAATTTAGTTTCTTGATATATTAAAAATATCATCTTCTTCCACATAAATCTTGTGTTGTTGTGACATCCATTATTTTTCATACTGCTCTTTTTCTCATCTCTAATTATTTGGTCCGATTTTCAACAAATTGGTATCAGAGCCAAGGTTTTTGGCGGTTCTTGGGAGGTCCAAATTGGTTACTAAAGCGAAGTTTGAATAAGGTCAATTGTTTTAGAGATGACAACTATGAAATTTAAGATTCATCTTTTGGATGGCAACAATAGATTTTCTTTGTGGTAGATTAAGACGCGATTATTTCTTATTCAATTAGACCTGGATGATGCTCTGTTGGAGGTGGATAGAATGCTTGCAACATTGACCGCGGAGGAGCAACGCAAGGATCGGAAACCCCTATCACAAATATATCTTCATCTTTCTAATCAAATTCTCCAGGAAGTGGTAAAGAAAAAAGTGTAGCTGGAATTGTGGTTGAAAATCGTCGTTGATTTGGAGACCATGAAGGTCAACTACAATGAAGAGGATTTATGGTTGATATTTTTATGTTCGTTTCCACCTTCATATGTGATTTTTAGAAATATTATTCTCTATAGTTGGGATGCTCTCACTATGATGAGGTATATGATGCGTTTTATTCTAAGAGAAAGATGAAGCATCTGAATGTCGAATCCGAAGCCTAGGCAAAGGGTCTTGTTACTCGTGAGAGGAAGACAAGGGGTCATGAAGGGTAGCAACAGTGATAAGATATGTTGGTATTACAACAACAATGTGCACATGAAGAAAAATTACTATGAGTGGCGAAACAGTAAATAAGTTTGCTATTACATATTAGAAAGGTACAATCAGGAAATTTCAGTAATGCTAGTCTTGCAAAAAAAGATTGCGATGATGGAAATATTTGGTGATTTCTGACGGTAACTCCAAACCTGACAAGAATTAGACTTTTTATACGGTTTACACTTTTCATATGTATTATAACCGGGATTGGTTTTCTTCATATGAAATAGTTACAAGGGGTTTTGTGGTGATGGAAAATAATGAACCTTGTAAAATAGTTGGTAATGATAAAGTCAGAATCCAGATGTTTGATAGGACTGTCAGGACACTTGGTTTAGTAAGGCTCGTTTCAAGTTTAAACAGAATTATTATCTCCTTGATTACTCTTGATTCAAAATGATACAGATATATTTGTGAATGTGAAGTTCTGAAAGTTAGTAAGGGTATGGTTGTGTTAAAGGGGTAGAGAAAGTCTTGGTTATATGTTTTGAAAGGTTTGACGACACTGTGAACGCAACTGCATCTTCTGATTTGATAAGCGGTAACTCCGAAAGAGTTGGTTGTGATCGGGTTGCTAGGGTGATTCAAGCAATAATATTGAAGAACTTGCCAGTAGCTCAGGTGGAAGTAGTTGTGATCTTATTGATCATGTTGCTCATGGGATAATTCAAGAATGTTTTGTGACTCGGCTAGAGCTGGTAGTGAACCAAATATTCGAGCAGGTTTGGCGTGCAATGTAGTTCTACTGGTAAGCAGGGCTTGAATTTTGTTCACATTTGCTAAGTATGCTCGAAAAGGGCATGGGTGTGCCCGGAAGAGGCATGGTGGAAGAAGTGGAGAATAACTTGAAGGATGAAGACTTAATTCATTGCTATAAAATTTGTGTTAAGATGGAGTTTGTTAGGTTGTAACTCAAATTCCATGTGATTTAAAAGTTTGACTTATGGAGGAAGCCTAGATAATTTTGGTTTGGAAGTCTGAATTGATAAGAAATCAAACTTCATCGTTGATTCGGAGTTTAATTGGGGAAAGTATTTTGGAATGGATAAGGAAATATTTTGAAAGCATTGGGTCCAAGACGAGGAGCCTTGGCACCGATAGCGCAAATGGCGATAACGGCGTGGGCGTGGAGCATCGCGACGCCACCGGTACAAGAAAATTTGTTTCCTTGTCAATTCCTACCACGTTTTTTGTGCTCTATTACATCCAGAACTCCAAGATTGAGCTCCTATATATACTTTAGGAGGTGTAAGGTCTTCATAGACTCGACTAACAATAAGATCATTATTGTATACATTATAAATTTGAAAGAATTGTTTAAATTTAGATCGAGAGTATCAAATTTTGTAAAACAAATTTAGCTCTTAGTTTCTTAGTCTATTGAAATTATCCCCTTCTTCCACATAAATCTTGTATTATTGTGTGATCCTTTATTTTTCGTACCGCTCTTTTTCTCGTCTTTAATTATTTGACCAAGTTCTTAACACATACAAATAGTAGATACTAGATAGACATCATTTTATTTTTCAAACTCTTTCTCATGTTACAAGCAACTTCATTATTCTTATAAATATCACCAAAACAATATTTAGCATAATTCAAATTATACCTCAAATCAAGCACGATAGCAATCAACAAAAATTGGTTAAAATTTTCCATCTTCCCCTAAACTTTTTCTTCATGTTAGTAACAATTTCACCCCCAAAAGATAATCACACTTAATTATTTTCTTCATCTTAGTAGCCATCATCACCTCTTGCACTGAATTCTTCTAATTCGATTACAATTGAACATACTTCATGAAAATAAACAGTAGAGCTTAGATGCCATGAGTACTAAATTTCTACATCATATGACTGTTAAAGTTCAATGACTAAATTACAAATAGGGTAAAAATTTAGTGACTCGATTGCAACAAGGGTGAAATTTCAATGATTTCTAGTTTTATTAATCTGCTACCGGATGGATAAGTTAACATTTTGTCTGTTTTAATGAACATGTTGGGGAACTCCAGTAGGCTTGTTAACGGAATCCAAATGAGCGGCCTGATTAATTAAATTAAAATTTAGTGGCCTGATTGTTCTAAATTAAAGTTCAGCAATCCAATTGTAATTATGGTGAAAGTTCAGTTACTTCCATTATAATTAATTAACCCTATAAAGCAATGTCAACAAGGAATCTTGAGGTGGTGGGACCCAGAAAAATGGGCATGCTAAAAGCACCACCGTTCATATGCGGCGAACCGATTCCACTCACTCCGTAGCCGACGATTGCCACGTTTTTGTGGCCCACCAACGTTGTATGTACCACAATTCCTTCTCTTTTTTCCACTGCGAATTTTTTGTTTATCCTAGAGTTTTATGCTTATTTGACTAAAGAATCAGTACTCATTTTATTTTTCTTTTTCAATTTTAAAATTAATTAATTACAAGTAAATTGGACATAAAAATGGGATTTTTTTAATCCCCTTGCATTCCTGCCCCTGCCCTGCCTCTTGAAAACAGTTGGAGAGCAAGGGACGGAAAAAGGTCCACTTGGTCTCGTCATGTTCAGTTGTCATCTCTAATTTGTGTTGTTGTCTCTATTTTTTGTTGAGTCGGTCCAATCAAACTTGTGTCTTTTTAATTTTTTTAATTAGAGGGTACAATAGAATTTTTAAATTGAGATATAATTGAAAAAATTAAATACTTTTATTTACGTATTTGAATTACACGATTTTTATAATAGTATTGTCAATTATAAAATTAAACGATTTGTCGGAATTTTGCTAACGTAAATTATTTTGAAAAATCAATCCCCGGACATAATAATGTAGCATCGATTAAAAGTGGCAATTGAATATGAATTGAGTATATTTTTGCACATCTCAATAGAGTCAAATGATGTTTCAAATGCAAAAGAGAATAAATTAATTTTATGAATAATAAGTATGTAAAAAAAAAATTCCAAACTTAGTCACCTTTTTTTTTCCTTT